CTCTCGTTTAATCAGTTTATTGACTAAAGTGCTTATATTTTCCCATAAGCACACTAGCAATAAAATCTGTGATCCTAAATGGGCTTGTTTTGATACTTGAAACCTCTAAAGAGATATTGAGGATAACGTCATAGCTATTGCTTGACTCTGTTAATTTTCGCATTTTCACATCAACTGCAGCACTTGAAACTGCATTTTTCAAAATCGGTGAGATATATATGAAAAAGCCCATTTCAGATTACAGAAAATTCATTTTTACATAGTTAGGCCAAATATAAAAGAAATCCTCCACTTGAGTTTCAAATGATAGTCCGGGCCGCAACCCATACCCCTTAATTTTTGTCGTTTTGAGAAAACTTGAAAAAACGTACAGATTTTGTCATAACTTTCTAACCAAAACAGATAGGGGCATGAATTGAATTGTATAAAGACAATTAATCATTTCTCAATGTACCCAATTCTTTTATATCTAATTTTAAGAAAAAAGTCACCCCAAAATACAGTAGGTAGTCATGCAACAGAGAGGTCAATCTTGTGGTAGTATTAACTGAAAAGAAGAAATATAGGGAAATTTGTCAAAAACATGCAACTCCAAGTTGCCAAAAGAGGAAAACACATCCATAAATTGCAGAAGGACTTTTTAAAATTCCAAATCAGTCCCTCTTCCTGGGCAGTAGAGACATCTGCCGATCCAATTTTCCTCCTCTAAAAGATGGTTCCTTTCCTGTTTTACTAGCTGCACCCTCTATGTTAGTCTCTGCCCTCTATATTTGGGTACAGTCCCTTCTGATGCCACTGTCCATGGTTCGGGCTGAGACCTGCAATTTTAGAAACGGCATAAGCGTCTGGGTGCTAAGGGCCCCCAAATTCCAGTCTGCAGTAGTGATAGCAAAAGCTGCTTCTACTCTTGGATTGGTCACAAAGACCGTCTTAGGGCCCTTCAACCAGGTGTGAACTTATGGAAACGCCCATTCTGTTTTTGTGTCACGCCAGGCGCGTACTTGATCTCCATTAGTTCATCTGTGGTGCACAGGCTTCATAAATGAGGGGGTTTGAGGTGGGTAGAAAGCCTTCCCTTGTGTGATGGTGCTGTGCTTCTTTGGCTGTAATGCCTTTAGTAAAAGTACAGTATAACACAGATAGCTTGAATTCGTTGGGACTGGCCTCGGTAGTTCGAGCTCTGTAGTTCGAAGGATATCTTTAAAAGATAAAGAAGGAAAAAAAACCCGGGACCGCAGGCACAATACTACAGATGCATGTGTGATTTTGAGTCTTCTGTGTTTGACCTGTCTGTGTTATACATGCATGTACTGTAAAAGCACCAGTTGTTTTCACTAGTAGGTGGGCATCTGTCATGATGTGGGTCTCCATCTGTGCTGGTGCTGTGCAGCATGTAGCCACCACTGTTTCTTACTTTAGCAGTGGAAAGAGTTGAACAACCTCAGAGGTTTTGTGTAATAGGACTGGAGACCTCCAATCTTCTCCTGGTTGAAAAGAATAGAAGAGAAAAAACCTGGAAAAAACCCCAAAGAATAAGGATTTAGGTGTTGTTATTATCCTCTGCAGACAAAAGCTGGCAACACATTCAATGGTAAAATTGTAATTGCAGACTAAAAACCCATTTAACACTCTAAGCAGCAGGGAGTTATTTATGCAGATGCCAAGCACAAGAATTCAGCTGATAAGAGTCCAATTTAAATTATAACAAAAAACCAAAAAGGACAAGAAAGCAGAATATATACACTCAAATCCTGCAAAACTGCCACCCTGTTTTACTAGCCCAGCTTTCCACCAGGTTTTGCCAACGCACGAAAAGTAACGCCTATATAAACATAGGCTACTATTTGCCCCCTACCTGAAATGTAGCCTACTAATGTTAATTTTCCTCCAAACCCCTTCACTCTTGGCCACCAGAGGTGCTGCGTGCACCGTCTACATACAGTGCACACTTTACACACTACACACCAGCGACTCAGCAACTGTGTACGCCTAGCCTAGGGCCTAGTGACATTCTCCCTTTCTCCACTGACACACTTGTCTGAGTCTGAGAGTGAGTGAATGCATGAAGTACGGGCCTACAAGACGATGGGCATTAACCCCTTCATTACACAGGGTCAGTGTGTGCTTCACCAGACAGATGTTCATTTTGATCTCCAGGGACAAAGAGTAGCGCTAGATAAGCGGTTGGTTGCATATATATTATTTTATGATTAGACTCAGTTTATAAATTCTACTATCTCTAAAAGGAAATACCATATCTTGAAATATCCCCAAAAATGTGTCTGAATGTGAATCTGCAATTAGTTTTATGAAATACATGTAATGAAGCAGTATGCCAAATGCAAAATATGATACACGGAGTTCATCATTATGGTCCTCATGCTTCACAAGGCATGACAAGCACCGTAGGTCCCAGGAGAACTTGCTTCCTTCTCCATTAAAAGAAAAAAATGAACAAACATCCATCATATCTTAGGTTACAAACAGGCTAAGTTTTGCTTGAGGGGAATAGCGCAATAATTGTTGATTGATGGGAATTTGAAAATTAGGGGATAGTCAAGTGAAATTTCTTATCCTCAAATACGGTACCTAAGTCAGTATGCCAAAGGCTCTCTCTCCAAGCGTTACACCTCTCTTTTTCTCCATGACTCTTAGATTTTGCAAAGTACAGAGCTGAGACTGAAATGATATGACATACAAAACAGATTTCATTTATAGAACCATTCTCTCATTCTTGGAAGTATTTTTTTCAAGCCAACAAAATCACCAGTGACAGGCTTACAACGTTCAACAGTAATGAAAACAAAGCCAAACATGCAATTTTCTATCATCAAACTATTTTTACATTTTCAATCACAGTACTTTTACTTGTTTCAACTGCTGATAAAAGAGTTGAAGCACAGTTGATGAGCATAAATAGGTTTAAATGGAGGGAAAGGGGTGTATTATCTCTCACACTAATACTAGGCCTAATCTGTAATCTAAATGTAATCTGAATGAGATCAGCATCAATAAAAGTGCAGTTATTGTTTGCCTTTTACTTCTCTTCATTTAAATTGAATAAGACATTGTTTTTAATGAACTAATCACTCTATAAGTATAGCCTAAGTATTAGTGAGGCATTTTTCTGAGAGAGATATCGGGTATCTAAAATAAATCACTCTGATTTCTCATGACACGTAAGAATCAAAATCAATTTTGACTTACTCTTTTGCCACATGGATGACACACATCACCTCCTTCTGAGTATGGAATCATAGGGGTTGAGGGCCTTATACAGTGGGGATGATTTTGAATCTCCATCACCAATGAGTGAGGTGTTCCTTATCTTGTTCTGGAGTGAGCAACCCCATATGACACGCTTCGCTCTCTTTATCAAGAGGGGCCACTGTAGTTGACCTGACATTCAGGCTTGAGGATTTACAGTCATGAGTCAAACTTATCAGTTGTCAGCTGGGCCTTCACAGATTAGCAAAGCTGGGAAAATACACAAGCGGATTAGTGAATTACCAATTTGTCGGTAAAACAAAGCCTAAAAAAACCAGCTAGAGAGAAAAGAATTTGGCAACAAATCACTACTAGTATACTACGTAATTTATCCTAAAGGCACCAATGTTAGAGTACCTCAAGAAAACTGAGAGCACTCATTACAAAATATTAATTCGGTATATCTACATATTTCTTGAACATCGTTTTGCTATTAATTTGAATGCCCCCCCCCCCCCTCCTTCCTCTCCCGAAAAAACCCACAAAACAGAATTAGAATAGATAGAAGGAACTGGGTGCGATTACCATGAATTGTGGTGTAAGGGAGTAAACTAAAATATAGTTCAAAATAAGACCACATTACAAATAAATGCTGAATGTTCCCATTGAACTACTGTATAAGATTTTATAGCATGGCCAAATAAAACTTGTAATCGTATAATATATTCATGATCTAACCCTGATGAGCAGCAGTTTAATTAACACACTTGTAATTTGATATAAGTTCAAAACAGAGCACACAAGTTAATGAGACATAGATCTAATCTTATCTACTTGCAGGGGCGAAGGCTGGCTTGTTTGACAGGGTAATCAAAGTGAAATGGGACCAGATATGGCCTGTAGATATCACACAAGAATCTTACTCGAGGCGGCGACTCTGAGTTGAATGAAAACAAATCCGGAATTCATATTGTATGTTCAACCGCCAAAATAATCGGGAAAGTATCTTATTAAATATCAGTTCCCACTAAAATCAAACTTAACTTTAGATGTGAATACATAAACACAAAGCAAAGAAGCAGAGATGTCAGTACTAGATCTATATGTTATAGATCTACCAGTGAGTCTAACTCTTCGGTAGAACATGACAATTATTATTTTTTTAATTTCACATTTGGCTGTTTTTGTTAGCCTTTCGCGGCCAGGAGCTGGTGTCATAATCGAGGTCACGATCTGATTATAGGACGGTAAAAAGTCGAGGAAAAAAAACAAGCACAAGCAGCAGTCAAGAGGTTATTAAGAGTTAGTTCCCCTCACACTTGTGAGGTAGACTCGACCAGTATTAGTTAGCTTACTTAATTAGGGCGTGTGATTGATTTTAACTGTGGCCCCAAAGGGGTGAACAGGGTATATGTGGCAATGAAACAACTTTGACTGCCATGCACATGTTCCCTTCAACTCTATTCCAGCCTCACTTTAAGCTTACTTAATCAAAGCTTGCATCTGCTTATGGAGTGGCCCGAGAGGGGTGAGAAGGCTATTTCTGTGGCTGTGAAACCGTTTTGAATGTTAGGCATACTGTTCGTTGTTGGTTACGAACGTCTTTTTACATTTAATTTATGAGGTTTACGTTTAAGGATGAATTTGAAAGCGACAATGTTTCAAAATTAGAAAGGGAAGCAGTGATTATTTGATTATATAGACGCTTCGCACCTGTCTACTTGTGCCTAAAGTATGGAACTGAAGATTTTCAGCTTTTATTTTTAAATTAATTTTTCCCCGCCCCAGTGATAGATCTAGATCTAGATCACAGTACGAAAACAATTGAAGGAAAACCGGAAACTTCAAACTGGACTAGCAACGTCAAGTCATAGAAAAAAAAGAATCATGCACAACCACTGAAGACTGTAGAAGTGAGGGAATGTGGCATTATGTGGTTAAAATCTTGTCTGTTCTACTAGGTCAGCCGATCAAAGCAGGTCAAAGCTCATGTGGCTTTGCAAGTGGTCCACAAACTCACAGCTTTCGCTGCTTGTTCCGAAAATGCACACACCTCCATTCCAAAACTTGCTCATACTCCTCACCAGTTCTCCCTAAACTAAAAGTAATTCCAACATTCAGTTCATGAAATGAACTACTGAATATTGCCAATGCTGTTCGTAAAACAAGCCAGTCCCAGTAGTGTGTCCTAATCCTAATTCTCTAGTAGGCCATTACTAGACTCGCACTAACTTAACTTAGACCGTGTAGGTCAGCAAGCAGCTGATATTACAACTTACGATCGTATGAGGCTATACAAGTTCAAGACAAAACACTAACGAATGAAATATACTCTTACCTGCACTGTATATCAGTTGAAACATTGTCAAAGCTGAAGAATTTCAATTATTCTTCCCCCTTTTTCAAGTGACAGAAGCTTACGAAAACCCGGAGCTTCGGAGATGTGTTGACCGCGGGTGACAAAACACGCGGAGATGTTGCATCCTGGGATTGAAAGCTTTCTGGGCTAATAATATGAAAAACGTTGGAGCTATAAATAAACCGAAGCGTGTGTCCTTGACTCGACGAAAGTTCAGTCTGACCTCCGCGCTGAACTCGTTAGCGGAAGATCGACTAGATTGTTTTGGTTGTCAGGGTAGAAAATTAATGGATCAACTAAGCAAAAGTTTTCTTTATGTCTAAAATTTGCACGTAATTTGAAAGGGGGGTACCTACTAAAATGATTGACAGCGTGTTTCAAAAATGTGTTCTTGGTAAAAGTAACACGTCAGATCTATTTCCAATACGTTGAAGTAGCCAATCGGATATAAAGCTAAAAATCAATAATTTTCGCCAAACATCGTATTTTTTGCCCTGAATATTTCCCGTGGTGTACCTAGAAAAGGATATTTGTGAGGCAGCGTGGTGGAATCAGGCTCTCGTCAGTTTTTGGGCTTGTTGAGTTATTGGTATCATCTTAAAGCGTGTTCTCTTGTCTTTATTTGGGTGAAAAAAAAATATCCATTTATCTTGAATACAAGTCGAGATATTTGCAGAAGAAGGAGGTGGGAGTCACTTGTTTTCAGAGGTAAAATTAGTGAGAAAATGGCCGCCAAATAGTCGTTATTTCCTTAGCTTAAGAGTCCGTGGTAACTGAAAATTTACATTTTTTGTGCCTTTAATCAACGTTTTTCAGAAAAATCCACACTGAAAAGAGTTTTTTAATGGGGATGAAGAGCATTGAGCCAATAAACAAAAATTTGATAAAAATTCACAAACCGGCAGAAAAATGCAAGTTTCTTCACTTTGATTTTTTTTACGAGAGCCTGATTCCACCACGCTGCCTCACATGTCTTCATAAGCTGTGGATACAGCAACACCGTGTATGGTGACTCCTTCCATGGTGTGGTCAAGCACATGCCCTCGTCAGCACATTGACACACTTTACACACATCAACCCCCACCCCCCTTCCCCGAACACACAACAACATACGCACACACAGAGGTGCACATGCACACACACACACACACACACACACACACACACACACACACACACACACACACATACTCACAATACACATACACACACACATTCACGCACACACATACACAAATGCAATAATCACCTTAGGATGGACGGATGAATAGTAAAGCAAGGGTTATGATTAAAAAATCCACAACTAAATCTGCACATGGGGACGGTCTATGGTTTATTAAAGTCACGGAGGCAAGCCTATCCTGTTTTACTGCCACAGACCAAAAAAAAACCCCGTTGTAATGGGCCAATTAATACTCTTAAATCTGCAGTCGGGTGCGCTGGGACTTGTAAATTGATTTTGTAATTCGTACTTTAGACAGAGCTTGGTCTAACGTAATAAATAATCTACAAGTAGTTATTGGCCTCTACATAACAACTCTCGTTAAAGGAACAAACATGTGATCACCTTTCACATTCTTAGTCCAATTTCACAAACAAGGTCATCCAGTCCTGTTATGGTGATTGTGGTTTGGACAGCTCTGTAAGTTTCTCAGAAAGTTGAGGTTGTTTCACAATGCTCTTGGTCGTTTGTTTGTTTGAGTAAAGAGGAGAACACGTACCGACCTAATAATGGTCATTTGTGAGGCAGCGTGGTGGAATCAGGCTCTCGTCAAAATAATCAAAGTGAAGGAACTTGCATTTTTCTGCCGGTTTGTGAATTTTTATCAAATTCTTATTTTTTGGCTCAGTGCCTTTCATCCCCAGTAAAGAATTCTTTTCAGTGTGGATTTTTCTGAAAAACGTTGATTAAAGGCACAAAAAATGTAAATTTTCAGTTACCACGGACTCTTAAGCTCAGGAAATAAGAAATCTTTGGCAGCCATTTTCTGACTAATTTTACCTCTGAAAACAGGTGACCCCCACCAATAAATGGATTTTCCACCCATCCAAATAAAGACAAGAGAACAGGCTTTAAGATGATACCAATATCTCAACATGCCCAAAAATTGACGAGAGCCTGATTCCACCACGCTGCCTCACATTTAGTGATGGGGAAAAACAAGACAAACAAACAGACAGATACATCAGAGCGAAGGTAAAGAAGTATAAGCTACTGTAAGTGAGGCCCTCCAACCATCTGCGCTTAAGAACGCCATCCGGTCTGAAGGGGATGTTAATTTAGATTGTAAATTGCGTTAACATTAATACACAAACACACACAGACACACACAGACACACACACATACACACACACATACACACACACACACACACACACACACACACACACACACACGCCCGCACTGCACACACAAACAGGGGCACGCGCACTCACTCAGGAGAAAACTGGAAAGAAAGACGCCCGCGAAGAAGAACGGGAGACTCTATATTATTCAGTCTTTTTCGGAGATCTGCTCCTTTTTTTTAAACAAGAAGTATTTTACTCAAATTGGATTTGATTAGTTATGACTTCTGTTTTATTGTGAGTCTATTTCTAAAATATACTGGCGAGCAAAAGAAAGAGGTCAGTTTTCAAATCGGTGCTGTGTGAGTAGTTTAGCGATTTTTGACTTGGCGATTGACATGCTGAGCTTGAGTCACTTAAGAAAGTCGGTCAGAAAAACAAATTTTGTTTATTTTGTTGTTGTAAAAAGTGTTTTCTATACGTTTGGCCAAAAACGTGTTTTCTCGTTTTTTCTTGAAAGTTTACGATATAAAATAGTAGTCCTTGACAATACCTTTACTTTCATTCTTTTTTTCGTTACACACTTCAACGTGTGTAAGCGAAAAGGTCGTCAAAAATTTTGGGTTTATACTTTTCAATTTTGTTTTATACCATGCCTCGTCTCAGTGATGTGCAACGTATTGAAGCTCTTGGCATGCTGAGAGCAATGCGACGGTTTCTGCAGTCGCAAGAGCTTTCAATGTGACGAGAGATACTATCCAAAAGCTAAGGATACACTTCCAAGCAAGTGGTTCGATTAGTGACACTCCAAGGTCTGGTCGTCCTCGTGTCCCTACTGCTGTTGAAGACAATCGGATCAGAGTTCCACACTTGCGGGATCGGTTTCAAACAGCTTCTAAAACGCCAGAGATTGTCCTGGGTATAGACCAATCAGCCGCTTCACTGTTTGTCGACGCTTGAAAGCCCACGGAATTGTTGCTCGACACCCACCTCTACGAACTCTTCTCCTCCAAAGACACCGTCATGCCAGACTCCACTGGGCACGTCTGCACCGGCCATGGCTAAACCGCCAGTGGAACAGAGTGATGTTTTCTGACAAGTCCAGATTTCTTTTGGGTCGCCACGATGGAAGGCAGAAAGTCTACCGGAGACGTCATGAACGTTATTTATCTCAGTGTCAGTGCTGTTGCTGACAAACGTGGCATTATGGTATGGGAATCCATAACCAGTACTGATAAATTCGATCTAGTCATTATCGACGGTAATCTGACTGCCCAGAGATACATCAATGACGTTCTCCATCCACACCTTCTGCCGTTTCTGGCTCGCCACAGGAACAATCTCGTGGTCCAGCAGGACATTGCACCAGCACACCGTACCTTTGTTACCCAGAGATTCTTACAACAAAAACAACGTACGTGTTATTACACAATAGCCAGTATTATCCCCAAATTTGAACGTGATTGAGCACCTCTGGGACACGATGGGTAAGGAAATTCGCACCCTTCGGCATTCCCCAACGACAATCCCACAACTGCAGCAATCATTAATTTATGCTTGGAATAATATTCCCCAGTAATTTATCCAACGACATGTGCAATCCATGAAGCGGAGATGCCCTTTAGTCATCAATGCTGGTGGGAGTTACACCCGTTACTAATTCTTGGATTTTGGACATTTGAATAAGTGTTATTAATTTCTAATAAAAGGTGTGCTTTTCATCTTTTTTCTTAGTTTTTTTTTTCATTTATTGAAAAAAAGGCAAACCTTTCAAAATTCATTGGCAATATGGCATTACTACGATAAAGAACGGAAATAGTGCACGGAACGTAGGGGTGACCACTTTCTTTTGGTCGTCAGTATAAAGTGGTTGATGATGATGGTGATGATGATGAGGAGGAGGGGAAGGAGGAGGAGGAGGGGGGGGGGAAGAAGATTGTCACTCTTTTTGTAGCAGCCTTTGGCAGTAGTATTTTGTTGTTCATTAATAATTGTGATGATGATGATGATGATGATGATGATGATGATAATGATGATGATGATGATGATGATGATGATGATGATGATGATGATGATGATGATGATGATGATGATAAGGAGGAGGATGAGAGGGGGAGGATGAGGAGGAGGAGGAGGAGGAGGAGGAGGAGGAGGGGGGGGTTCGTCGTAATTTGATGATGATGATGATGATGATGATGATGATGATGATGATGATTATGATAATGATTATGATGATGATGATGATGATGATGATGATGGTGATGATGATGATGATGGTGATGATGTGTGTATTATCCTAATACAGATACACGCATCAAACTCAATTTCCTGAAACCTCTCTGAACACCAAAATTGTCCTCTTTCCTGTGATTGGAAATGATGGGTTTACCAGATGTCGGCATGATAGGCAAATGCAGTAATTGTTCTATTTGTTTCTTTTTTGTTGTTTTTATTTTAAAAAATGTTGTATAAATCATATATATTCTATTTGTGTATTAGTGTTTTATCTCTTATTTCTGTGAAGGGTTAGAAGGTGCCATTTGTTAGGGCCTACAACATTATTGACTCTCAGTGGTTCATGTGGTTGTATCTTTCTTTTAATTAGCCCTCTTAATTAATAGAAGCTTACTCTTCTTTTTACGTTCTTAATGGGACGCACATTTTGTAATGGCTTGTGTAGTGATAGAACGAAGGTCTAGTTCTGCGTTAGCGTTACTCTTTGTTTGTTGTAGTAAGGTTTTACAGCGCCCACAACTGCATATTATGAGCGCCAAAGGGGTGGATGTCAACAGAGGAGTCCAAATGGGAAATCAGGCTTACTCTGCTCACCTCTCTTGCCTC